AAAAAAAAAAAAAAAAAAAAAAAAAGTATCTTAGCTGATGACTTAAGTACTTTAATCTCCAGCGAAAGCAACAATATAATTCTCAGCGCTTTAAATTAAAAGAATGTATCGCAGAATGAAAGAAAAATATTTCCTAAAACTCGTACCAGAAACTTCCTTTTCAAATCTGAGTTTAACTTCCGAGTTAATCACATCCTTTAAAATACTATTCCCTTTGTTCAATCCATGAAATAAATTCAGTTTCCATCGTCGCATCGAAATCGAATATTAATGAAAGGCAAACAAACTGCGATCGTCCTGTGACGTGCAACGACGCACTTAACACCGATCATGCAACGGCGTCGACATGATTAATGAAAGGGGGCCGAGGAATGCATGGTCTAGGAGCGTCATTCGTCAAAGGGATTCGAAAAAACAGATGGGTCGTCGACATCAAAGTCAATCAAAAGCAAAACTCCTTCGACTCTCTTTTTTTCCCTTTATTTTCCTTAAGGTGCATCCTCACTGGTGTCCTCGAAACAAACACCAACAGTTTGGGAGTAATTTCCTCTAGAGAGTGCAAGTTCTGACTCAAGAGTTTAAATGTTTACACAATTTTACACGAATCTGTTCTTTATTGTACTTCTTCTGTTTCCAACCACTTTCATTTCATTTGATACAAATTACAGTTGTTGACAACCCGTTAAATCTGCTTTTCGGATATGTGAGAAATAGAAAACATTAGCGAATATTTATTAACAAATATTCTTGTAATTTTAGATTGGTAAATACACAGATTGGACACAAAATGGTCGCGCGAGGACTATTCGCGAATTGTTCGCCCTTAAAGTAATGCGAATAACGTTCCTCTGCCAGCGGAGGACGGCATCGCAGGCTGCGACTTCCGGTTCCTTTCCGATAATTAGAAACAGCCTCGTCTCGTGATAACAATAATGCCCTCGCGCGGTATAGCCCTCAGGGGGCGGCAGCTCGTTCGACATCAAAGCGATGCCCTCCGCAGTCGTGCTATGCATCAAGGCATCGCTAATGAGATTCACTTTACCGTGTACTCGCGACACTTCCTTCGTCTACGTTCGATTATTTTGATCATTTCACCGATAGCTTTGGTTTCACGCCTTTGAACCGACCATCCCCCGCTGTTTCCGCGCTCTTTTCAGACGATGCGACGATCGCCTGCAATTAGAGCGATTTTTTTCTCTTTTTTAAAAGAGAAGGGTTCTTACCGAGAATGTGGAGAATGGATACAGAGTGGAATGAGAGGTAAGAACTTTTAATGCCATATTGAGTACTTTATATTCCATATCGTGAAATTCATTTTGCGGGATTCTTGCAGGAAATTTCGTTTGTGAGAAATCTGTTAGTATTTCCTTGTCCTAAGGATAGAAAATGTAGAAAATGCGTCTAGTAAAAAATTGATAGTAACATTGAAACTATTTTTAAAAAAGGGCAGATTCTAAGGAGTAAAAGGAATGAAAGGTATAAAAGTGAAATATGAATTGACGATACGAAATATAAGATACTTGATAATAGATAAGATATATGAAGTATCTTTCATTAAAAAATTAATATCAAGTGTTAAAGATAAGTTCATTGAATATTAAGACTCTTTGATATAATTAACGATTGTTTAAATTCTTCGGTAAATTTTTATATAAAGATTGACTTCCTAAGGGAGATACACAGCCACGACAAAAACATAACCCTCATAGTTAAGGCAAAAACGATTGCTTACTGTTAACATAGTGCAATGTAGCAAATTTTTATCTTAAGATTGCGCGTGCTCCAGGGCTGGAGCTTTTAATCTAAGAACACTTCAAGCCGATAAGCTTTTATTCGTTATGCCTTTGTAAATATGTAAATACTGTATATACTGGCACAAAATAAACGTCTATTAATAAAAAAAAAAAATACACAGCCACGAGATAATTTGAAACTTGTTGATATCAGTTAATATTCGCCTAATTAACATCTCCGAGCGAATTTCATATCTTCAAGTTTCACGTGTCACAATCTTGTTTCACAATCCTAGCTTGCTATCTTCTAACAATAATTAATACGATACTACTTTCTTTTTTTTTTCCAAAGCGTGGAGAAATTTATCGTCGATATTTTACGATATGTTACTGCTTTCTAAAACGCCACTTAACTGAAGATTCACTACTTTGTCAAAATATCTTTACCTTGTAGATTTTATCATTCCACGGTATTAACCGAGTCTATAATGTTGCCGATTATACGCAAGACTATCTTTAATTGTCGCCACGTTTCCGTTACACCGTCTGCTTAATTGGACCGATCATTTCTACCTGGAGTAATTTCAACTTGAAGGTAACCACGTTCAAATTGACCATTCAATTTTCTCCTTCTCGAACACATTTGGAACATCGTTTCGAGCCGATTTCGATGTTCCTACAAATGGAATTGTGCATTTTAGATAGATTACAGTGGCACGATCGACAAAAACGGATCAATTTGTGGATGTTGATGTCGACTCGCGCGCCGTTTAATTTAGAAATAATAACTATACTCGATTTTAGATGGAACAGAGAGACCGGGATACAGAAGACAGATTATTAATTTTTATCTAGCATGCAGGTTAATAGTTCAACTATCAAACGCAGAGACTCGTCAAACCACTTGCGGAT